CTAAGGGGTCCTGGGGAGATGGGGTAGAGTATGGGGACGCTGTCCTAAGAGCTCCTGGGTGGGGGATGCTGGCCAGCCTGCTCTCCCCCTGGGTGCTTGCCCCTGCCCAGGGTGCACCTATCCCAAGGGCACCCAGAGAGGGGCCCTTGGGGTGTGTGCTTAGGTTGGGGCATGTCTGTCTCCGGAGGCTCTAGGTATTTTTCTGAGCGCCTGGTAAGCCTGTCCCTGAGGGACTAAAGGGGACCAGGAGGTGTGTGTGTGGGGGCGCACTCTAGAACAGTGTGTGTGTGTGTGTGTGTGCAGCAGATGCTTGTATCCTTGTGACTCTCTGAGTGTGATTGGGTGTCTGCATATCGGTGTGTGCAGCTTAGGTGTGTGTCTCTGTGTGGACATGCATTTGTGTCTGCCTTTGTGTGCCTGTGTACTTTATCTCTCTGCCTGCTTGTGTCTGTGCGTGCATACCCGTGTGTCTGTGTGTTTACGTGTGAGAGAGAGACACCCGTGTGCGTGTAAAATAACGGCTGTCAGGAAATTCAGCTGAAAGTCAGAGGACCCCAACTCCTCACCGGCTCGAGGATGACCTCAGCCCCCTGCAGGGGGGCCCCTCTCAGTGGCAGCTGATTGCATAGCTTCTCCTGAGCCAGCCAGGGGTGGAGTTCCTAACCTGATGGGTGTGACTGCAAGTGTGTGAGTGTGTGTGTGTGTGTGTCCACAGAGGGGCAGTGTGTGAGAGAGGGACTGCCCGGCCATGGGAAGCCCACCCAAGAGACAGCTGGGCCCCTATCCTTGGGCTGACCCAGGCCTATCTCCTCCCCACCCTGGGAGCTGCTGCTGGGCCTCGAAGGTGCTGGAGAAAGTGGGGCTGGGCCAGGGTCCACAAGCCCTTTCTCAGGGACACCCCCTGACAGCACAATCCCCCTGGGCTGCCCACCTCTAGGCCCCTCCCATCCCCAGGCCTCCCAAGCCTGACCCTGGGGAGGGGCTTCCACCCCAGGAGGGGCACCCCTCGCACCTGGGCACGGCCGGTGCTGGGACCACGTCCCTCCCCCCACCCCTGCATGTGGGTGCCCCCCTCTCATGGGGTTTGTGTAGCGTTCGCTCTAGACATAGTCTTCCTGCAATAAAGAAATGGGTCCTGCAGTCCTGCCGACCAGCGCCATCCTTTGGGGAGGGAGGAGGGTGGGGACAGGGGACAGGGGATGTCAGCACGCCACCTGCAAAGAATGAGGGGTGAGGAGGAAGGGCGAGGAAGGAAGGGGGGCAGGGGAATGTGGAAGAGAAGACAGATGAGGTGAAGGATGCAGGGAGTGGAAAGGGTGAGTATGGGGGTGATGAGGATGGAGGAGGTGA